TAAGTTTCAACAAAGTGGTGGTTGGATCAAAGCATTGATGGAGGAAGCAGAGAATGAGAGAATGCACCTAATGACTATGGCGGAACTTGTGAAGCCTAAATGGTACGAAAGACTGCTGGTTCTTGCTGTACAGGGAGTTTTCTTCAATGCGTTTTTCGTACTTTACATAATCTCTCCCAAGGTGGCTCATAGAATAGTTGGGTACCTTGAGGAGGAGGCTATACATTCTTACACGGAGTATTTGAAGGATCTTGAAAGTGGTGCAATCGAAAATGTTCCTGCGCCTGCCATTGCAATAGACTATTGGAGGCTTCCCAAGGATGCCAAACTGAAAGATGTTATAACAGTCATTCGTGCTGACGAGGCTCATCATCGAGATGTGAATCATTTTGCTTCTGTGAGTGTTCTTTATAACTTGCATAGCTTAAAACAAGGATGCTTTCTCGACTTCACGAACTTAACCGCTAAAACTGTTTTAATGATATATTTGTTTTATACTTATTTCATTTCCAAATTCCCTTTTGACTTATAATGATTTTTTTTCATGGAGCACAAATCATGAAAAATCTACATTATGGAAAACATGAGAATGCTATAATATAAAATCCACTAAGAATATTAATCTGGCAGACAACTAGATGGACATTCTTCCCCCAATTTTCTCACAGTCCATGCCTAGAACTTCAATACTAAAGTTATGGAACCGACGAGTGTGTAAGCAGCTTTTTGCTGCGGAGGAAAATATTCGCACATTATTATTGTCATACCTAGTTGAATAGGTTTAACAAACAAAAGGTATAAGTTTCATTTTTCCACTTCATCCACATTGAAAAGATTTCCTTTGAGAGAACTGAGAGAGACATACAAATTGTAACCACCGAGCTAGTAAGACAGCTTATTATGAGTAGTTCTGATATGTCTTCCTTTGTCGATCTACTTATGTTTTGGGTTCCGGACTTAGGAGGTAGTGAGATGGTACATAGTTTGTTTGAAACAAAGGTTGATTAAATTTACCATATTTATTTATCATATTATATGTGTCTCATGTGGACATTGCTTAAGCATTGCTGTTCCAGGTTGATTTTTATTTAATATAATGTTTTTCATGCAGGACATCCACTTTCAAGGTAAAGAACTGCGGGAAGCACCTGCTCCTATTGGTTATCACTAAGTCTTTACTGCCACGAAAATGAAGTACATCTGGCTTAGTACAGTCCTTTACAATGACAATGTAGGATATTGCATTTAAAGCAAATATTTCAATGATTATAGTGTAATATCCCATCTGAGAGAACCATGTGTAATATGATACCATTACGATACAGATAGGCATTCTTCCACGAGTATAAAGTTAGAGGACAATGACAATGATGGATTGATATGCATTTATTATATTTGATGACAGTCAAGTATGAAAATGGAAAGAGTGATCCAGAAATGTGTAATTAGAAATTCAAAAATAAAAAGTTGAACCTTCGTTACCTCATTTGTAATTTTTTTCATATGTGTCTATTATCCATAAGCTTGTTAAAGCCGGATTACATTCATCTAATATTATGCGGAGGTTGATATTCAAAGAAGTAACGAGAGGAGTATAGGAATTGAAGTGCTGAAGAGGGATGGTGTTAGGTTCCTAGGTAGAGGAACCCAAGAAAACTACTGTAAAACACTCAAACTCACTGAAAAGATATGGTATTATTGATTCTAGGCATCCAGAATAGGAAAATGCCTCCAAGGGACAAAGTTCCCTTCACAGGGTTGGTAATGATTATGTGAACAATTCTCTAAACATCCAAAAACATCCCCTTGCCTACAAAGACCCCCACTATATAAAAAAAACTCACTCAACCTAACAACCCAACTAACAACTAATATTGTAATCTATTTCCTCTCATCATACACATTATATCCTATCATTATATGTCGTTGCAGAACAACCTTATCCTCAAGGTTGGAACAATAAAGCTTGATCTCATGACTCATCTTCATCAACGTGTTATCATAAAACGAGAACCCATTGACTACTGCCTGTAAAAGACCAGGAAAATCAGTGACTTCTTGCACGACTCAATGATAAGTGTGAAAAAGAGTTGTTTTTATACTTATAAATGAACTCAATCTTGTAATTTTTCATGTTGTTACTCGTTGAAAAGTTGTAATAGGTAGTAGATTGTTATGTAAAATATTGTACAAGAAATGATATATTATTTAGACTCTGTCAGCCAATTTTCGCAAAGCGAAAGCCAAAATTCGCACTGCCAGAAAAAGAAAATTCGCATAGCGCACCAGTATCTGTGCGCTGAGCGAATAACATCAGTTAAAAGCAGTTAAGAAAATTCGCATAGCGCACCAGTACATGTGCGCTAAGCGAATTAATGAATTTAAGTGGCTTTAAAAGACGTGACAGAGCGACAGAAACATTCCCTTCTAACAGAAGTTCCAGACAAAAGAAAGAAACGAAAACATCTCAGGAACTTCCGGAGACTACTTCAAGGCATCAAGACACCATTGTTGCAAGGGATTGCTTCAAATGTGTACGTTTTAGATGATTAGGAGTAGTTAAATTTCTCTTTCGTTGGGATTGGATGTAATGAACTCACTGTAATTTTCCTGCTCAATATATCGTTGTTTGTTCATATGCTCTTTCTTGAATTTATTATCATTGTATGAAAATATAACGTTCTTTTAATGTCTTTGATTATTGGAAAGTAACTTTGAACATGAACGAACGTAGATAGAGCACTTAAGTGATTTGGGATCTAGGGATAGACTCAATAACTTGATCATTCTTAACATCGGACTTAATGCAAATTGTATATTAAATTGGCTAAGGGATTAACATTTTGATATATTAATTTAGAACTAGTTGCTAAGGGATTAGGACTAGTATGGCTTGATGTGAATGTTTGAATGAAATAATGATATATTGTACAGAGTTTTATCTTCATATGATTCATGAAACCCAATTCCAACGAAGTTTCTTTTAAATATAAATTTCTTGCACACCAACTGTTTGATAAAATACCAAAAATAGTTTCTTGTGTTGTTTTGTGCATTTTGATGTCTAATTGAGTTATAAAAGGAAGAATTGTCATGTGTTGCACAAGTCCCTTGGGAGACGATACTTTTACTTATTCACTGTATTACTTGTAACGATTTGGTATACTTGCCAAAAAGTTATCACTCAAAAATGTACCCTCTTTAGAACCCATTAGATGGGTAAATCCAGACTCATTATAGTATGATTTTGAATTCAGATTAGACCCTGTATAGAGACTCGAACCTGTAAAATTGTTGAAACACCTGGTTGCCCCTTCTCATTCTCATGGCCAGACTCACTGTTAGGTAGACTAAGGCAAACTTTGCTTGAACTATATAAATTTTTGAGAACTAAAACTCTATTGTTTTGTTTTGTAGGTTAAATTTTGAAAAGGAAAATAAGGGTCTATGGTATTCTGGTAAATTTTAAGAGCTTTAAAATAATTTATGAATGTTATATATGTCTTAGAATAGAAATTTGACTCAGAATTGCGTTTTTTCGTATTTTCGTAAATTAATGCTCAATAATCGATTATCTTAAGGTTATAATCGATTATCTTTGGACTAAAAAATGTTTTTGATTCGATAATAATCGATTATCTCATGTCATAATCGATTATCTTTGAGTTTTTTTCAATAACTAGGTTTTTAATTCGACAATAATTGATTATTTGAAGCAATAATCTGTGATTTTTGAAAAATAATTTTTCAAACGATAGTGATAATCGATTATCGTTACTGATAATCGATTATCGTTACTGATAATCGATTATCGTTACTGATAATCGATTATCACACATGTGTTTGTTTAGATAATTATGATTACTTACTAGTTGGGATAGTGTTGCCAAGATCCCACTAGGCGAGTGTTTGTGACTCGCTGGATGAGTTGCTTTTGGCAACATCTCTTTAATGATCTTCAATCCTCCATTTTTCTACAAAATAAACCAAAAATAGATAATTATCTCTATCTATGAAACTATATATACAAGTCAAGAATCTTTTGGTGGAATTCATTACAAAATAAATGACAAAAAGACAAATAAAGGGTTCTAATAAGTGTGAATAATAAATATTATCAAACTTATCCGTAAGTAGCCCAACCATCATGAAGTTCAATTGTTAGATTTGTTTCCATCTAACGACCCAAAAGAAGCGTGAATATTGAAGCATCACAACCTTCATCCTCAACGATCATATTTCAAACAAGACTTGGACGATTGAAGCGAATTCTCGAACAATGCCAGTCGAAGCAAATCCCTTCACATAGTCTTTGACAATGCTCGAGGCTTAGGAGTTGCGTACAGTATAAACCAACCAATCAAAAATCTAAGTAACAACTGGGCAGTAGGCGAGACAAGTGCGTAATGTTGATTAAGCCAATTATTTTAAATAGATTTAAGCGTGATTAAGCTAATCTTATCAAAAGCTCGTTACAATAACTATAAATATAAATTAAAGTAAGGTGATATGTTACATATTTAATATACATTTATTATCCTTACCTAAATCTTAATTAATTTTAACATCAAAATACTTTTCATACGTATAAGTAATTGATGGACCGTATATACTGAAACACTTTCTCTTCAATACACTTTTCTTCCCTTTTTTTCACTAATCCATTTTTAATAATTAAATTTCTTTTTTCATTTGAAAAAATCATCAATATATTAGTTAGGACGTATTTAATAAGAATTTGTTTTATAATATGTTAAGCTAGTCTTATGGATATGTTTTTTTGAATTAATTTTTTATATACGGAATTTAAAGAATTATTTTATATAAAAATTTCTCTTTAATTTTACATCTCAGGTTTGTAAAACCTATACTAAAATCATATTTTTCTTATAAATTAAAGAATTAAAAAAATCCATTAAAGATTCTCTTACTACAAAAAAGAAAATATATAAAAAAAAGGGTATGAAGATGGCATTGTCTATAGATAATTTTCGATTGTTTTAACATTCCGAAAACCAGTGAAGTCAAGACCAACCATAGGGTGGACGTCTGTACTATAAGAACTCAACTACAACGCTTGACGACTCTTCTCTTCCCTTTTTTTCTACCCAATCCGATGGATTCTGCGTTCTCTGTTACCACGACGGCGCACATGGCGATTGTCAGAGCGCTCCACCGTCATTTTGCCGGCGCTCCTCAACGCGCCTTCGTCCGGCGCAACCTCAGATGCCTCATTGCTTCCTACAACAACCGCTGCCGCATTCCATGTTCTTTTACTTCCGCGCCGTCGCCGTCCTCGCTCCGCTGCTTCGGCGGATTGCTCCCGCGAATGCCGTGCCGACTCCGCTGCATTTCGAGCTCCGCCGCTTCCTGTGCTTCTTCCACCGGCGATGGAAATGGAGGCGGTGGAATCGGTGACAGCGGCGGTTCTGGCGGCTCTGGCGGTTCTAGCGGTGAGTCTGGTGATGCTAATCTCCAATTGGTTGGTGACGCGTCACAGGAGCTTTCGGCACTTTCGCCTGACGTTATCATTCTCGATGTTTCAGTGTGAACTCTTCTCTCTGTGTAGAATTTTTCCTGTTAGTTTTATTTTTAGTATTTCACTTTTTTGTGCGTTTGATAGGGAATGGTGTGCGGGGGATGTGCAGCGACTGTGAAAAGGATACTGGAAAATCGAGTAAGTATTTAAAATTTGTATTTGGTTCGGTTTACAATCTAAACTTTGAATGCTTCAATTATTTTATTTGTAAGATGATTGGTATACTGGTTCTGTTGTTGGGGGCTTTCTGCTAGGTTTACTATGAGCGTGCGGTATTTTTTATTTCGTAAGTCTGTGGATGTCGTGGGAGATGATTGACCTTAATGCGGAAAAATCATGTTCAACAGTTTCAAAAGAACGCAGTAGTTTAGTCATTGGTGTCTAAATCCTTAAGGTGATTTTGATTGCTTGAGTGTAGAAGTTTTTGTGCCAACAGTACATAGTTGATAAACCCTCTCTATAATTTTTTACAGTAATCTAAATACTGTTTCTTTACTTTTTATGCAAATGAACATTGGGTAGCCACAGGTATCATCAGCTAGTGTAAATTTAACAACAGAGACAGCAATCGTTTGGCCTATATCTGAAGCAAAGAATGCACCAAATTGGCAAAAGCAATTAGGGGAGGCACTTGCAGAGCATTTAACCAGCTGTGGTTACAATTCTAGCCTCCGAGGTATTATTCATTCCTACCAGTTGAGCCAGCCATTATTGAGTCAATTCAGTGTCTTTTTATGATTTTTTACCTTGGTATTTGCTTATTTTTCATAAAATCACATGCGTGGTTGGTTATACTACTTTTACATCATTTAATTATATTATATTTCACAGATGCCCATCCTATCTTATTTACGTCCTTTGGCATGTCTGTTAACTTACTCAAAGTCATGTCTGTTACTTCTTTTAATTGTTAGATTTGATTGCTTGATTCTTGGAATATTTGTCATAATGGAAGCGTACTAGCATAATTTCTTTGAAATATTTGGCTTCATTGGTATTAAACTGTTTCAGCTTTCTAGATATTTTCTATTGGCAATAGAAATTGCTTTTTAAAGTTACCAAAATATGATTATACTGTATGTGTGTATTTATATAATAATGTTATTAGTACAATTGGCCTGCTATTTTTGGTCTACGTGTCTTTGGGATTGGGGTAAATAATAATTCATAAAGCTGTGAATAATTGTAATACCTATATTAGTTGGGCCTTTCGTTGTAATACAATGAGCTTGCTATCTTTGGTCTATATATCTCTGAATCTTGGATAAATATAATTCAAGTATTAATTAAAGCTGTAAATAATACCAATACCTATTTTAGTTGGGCTCCTTCTTTAAGTCGCACTTTGAAATGAATATCTTGTTACCTGTGAACAAGAACTTGGAATTGAGTGTTCATACCTTGCTTCATTTAAAATTATTTGCACCTTAATGTTGTCCGTTTATTTCAAAATTCATACATCTCTATATTATCAATGTTTTGAGTCCTTATATCAGTATTTAGTTTTAATTTGTAAAGGTTCAATTGTACTCCATGGACTGAACTAGAAGCTAGGAATTTAGTTTGAAATTAAAATGTGTGAATATAAATGACAAGCAACTGGTCTTCCTACCAAACTTCAATTGGGAACAATATATACCAGCTCTTTCCGAAGTAGGAATAAGATTTTTACGCTTGGATTTAATAGACACAACATGCAATATTGGTGACATGACTTCTGGCTATCCACTTAGCAGTCATTACTTCATATGAGATTAAATCTTACGGCATGTCATAGAATTTCATTTCATTTACATAAAATTGGCGGGTTAAGTGGCAGGTGAAGAAGCTATCTACTGAAGGAGTTATTTCACCATATAAATGCGAAAGTGGTTTTCTGGAGTCAATGGTATGCCATCAATTCATGGGGTTCTAAGTTTTAACGCTTTACCTTCTGTATGAGTAAATTGTTTTCAAATCTTATGTCCACCCCACTACTTAGTTATATAGGATATTTTAAAATCCATTATTCATGTTATACTTTCTCCCTTCAGAAGGTGAATCTCCGTGGCTTCTTGTGATGGGTATTGGAGAGCCATGTCTGTGTTCTGGAGCCCCTGCACGGTGAAGAGTTTTGCTGATGTTGAATATGATACTAGTGATCCTTTAGTTATAATGAATTTTAGCGACTCTTATTCATGTGCAATTGGTTTATTTTGTTTTGTGCGTATGATTGATGGGAATAATGTATGATTCAATGGTTGATTTTTCACCATATATTTTTGTACCCAATGAATGTATAATGCTATATTTTATTTTTACAAGTTCCAGTATAATAAACCCCTAACACCTTTATATAATGCTGCATTATATATAAGTATGTGTTTCTTTGTGCTGTTCTTACACACGGATTCCATTACGCATGACTCTACCATTTCTCTCTACTATAACTATATAGGAAACAAATCATGAGATAGCGAAACATGGTAAGTTGATGAGCAATCCTAGGAGGTATTGAGGGAATAGGTAAACTAATTGTTAAAGACAATCTATTATAATCTAAGATACGATCAAGATAGTATTGGGCATTTCATAAATTTTGACATTTTCCACTGAATTTTGTTCCTGCAAAGGCCCGATTGGAATGATTATTTATTCTGCAACTTAAGTGAATAAAATATTGATTAAACTACAATAAAGATTCTGGATTTCTTGTCACTAGCCAGATGAGTGGTTAATGTTCCCAAATTTTAAACATTTTCATCAAGAATTTTCCTAACCTTTCCCTGTGAATAGTTGTAACAATCATATGCTAGTCATTGTATGTAGTTTAAATGGGAACAAATTTCTCCACTAGTGTGTTTGATTGCTGACCATTCTGATCTTGAAAGTGCAGATTCTACAAGAGACAATTTCCTCCAAATTTTTGAAAGGAAGATGGAGGAAAGACATAGACAATTAAGAGAAAGTGGTAAGCACTAATGAAATCTACACTAATATTGCAACAAGAGCCCACTTATGCTATTTCTGAGGGGTTCTCTGATGATTCAACTTTAACTTCTGGGACTAATTGGTGACCTTTCTTTTTTATGTGCTGTTTAAAGGTCGTGAGCTAGCTGTTTCTTGGGCTCTATGTGCTGTCTGTCTTGTTGGCCATTTCTCTCATTTCTTTGCAGCAAAGGCACCGTGGATCCATGTCTTTCATTCCATTGGGTTTCATCTATCATTATCTTTATTTACATTGCTTGGTCCTGGCCGCCAGCTTATCCTTGATGGTTTAAAAAGCCTTCTTAAAACAACACCAAACATGAACACCTTAGTTGGTCTTGGGGCTTTGTCTTCATTTACTGTCAGCTCATTTGCTGCCTTAGTTCCAAAATTGGTAAAATGTCTTTCTGAAGTTTGTTATCTCTAATCTGTAATTTTGATTCAATTAGTTGCTGGCAACATTTAGTAAAAGCTATCTTCAAATCATTAAAGAAAATAGAAAACTCAAATTTCTTTTGTTGTTGACTGTCAAGTTTATGATTCCTATATAGGTATAGTTTGCAAGATGGCTAAGTACTAGTAGCTCACAGATTATAATATGTAAATTCTCTTCTGGTTTGTTTTTCTGGATTCGGCTAAATACTCTCAGTGATCTCTTTTATCAAATCATTGATACATGTGTGTACACATTTTGGTCCCCACACTTTCACACAAGCATTGCTCATGCACAAGTAGGTTGGTAGAGTCAATTATATCGATCCAACAAACTGTATTTTTTAGCTATTATTAAGAAATAGTAGCATACGTGTTCCTCCACAGTCCACGTTCATGATCATAGTTTGGTTTGAGTTTTTAGCTCATGCTTATGTTCATTTACATTACAAAGCTATAGCTTTTGCTTGTCTTTTTCATTTTGGTAAATGATGGTGGATGTGTTAGGCAGGGGAGTGCTGAGAGGGGTTGGAAAGTACATTAGAGGAAGAAGTTAAAAAAAAGAGGTGGTTAGCCGTTATAAGAGGGTGAGACTTATGTTAGACAAAAGTCTATATATTCATATCATCCATGGTGTGGGAGGTAGAGAGAAAAAGATAGTTGTGAACAGGGAATGCCCTGGGTGGAAGGAAGAAATTCCTTTGTATTCTTTGTACCCTGTTTTTCCTTGCACATTAATTTTGAATAATAGGAGAAGTGGACTCTTTTTCTTCTAATCTGTATCCTGTTTTGTTACCTTGAACGAAGGCTCATGACAGGATGTGACTTAGGCTGATTCTTATCTATGTAGTTTTGTTGAATAGTGCTCTATTCATCTCATCTCATATAGGAAAAATAATAACTTGTACTCATCACATTTATACTACACCAGTCAAAACCAGCTGTTGGTTAGACTTAGATGCTCAACATGTGCTTGTTTATATCTATTAATTAGAAGCTAGAAAGCATATTTTCTTTGTGAAATTATGGAATTGGATTTGTAATTATATGTGTAAAGATAAATTTAATTGTGCTAAATGATATTTTTTAATTGTTATGCAGGGATGGAAGGCTTTCTTTGAGGAGCCAATTATGCTAATTGCATTTGTGTTGCTAGGAAGGAATCTCGAACAGAGAGCTAAAATTAAAGCAACCAGTGATATGGCAGGACTTCTTAGTTTGTTGCCACCAAAAGCTCGCCTTCTAGTTAACAATGAGGAAACAGAGGCTGGCTCAGTTGTTGAAGTTCCTTCTGAAAGTCTTTCTATTGGAGACCAAATTATTGTGCTGCCTGGAGTGAGTAATATCAGAACCTATATATTATCGGATACAACCCTGTAGCTCCTTTACCCTTTTTTTAGTACCGGAAGAAGCTTCGGTTGCGTATTCTCTCCAAATGGATGTTTTTTAGTGGTGTAATTTTGGGTTCAAAAAGTATATGGTGAACTGGTGATGTACACCTATAATCACTGTTTTCAAATTCGTCATCTGTGATGTTGTTTGTGCTACAAAACCATTGCTAATATCATTTCTAAGTTTGAATTCTTCTGCTTAGATTTTGACAAGTAATATGCATAAATTACTTGTCAAAGCTTCTTGATTTTGGCTTTTAACCCATATACTCCTTTGTCTAGGACCGTATTCCAGCTGATGGAGTTGTGAGAGCTGGTAGAAGCACTGTAGATGAATCAAGTTTCACTGGTGAACCACTGCCTGTAACAAAAGTGCCTGGGGTACATTCTGCCTTGACATATTTTATGATAATTTGATATTTATTTGGCTTTTGATACAGATTGTTGCTTCTATTTGTTCCTTTGAGCACCTGTGCATGTTGTCCCAGTGGAAAATGTCTCTGTCACATACAATAAGCAATACCCTTGCTGTCCTACTGGCAAAAGTCTTTTATCAACTGTATTCTCAGTTCTCAAATTGCAAATAGCTTCTCACTGTCCAAATACACAGCCTTTTATCATATATGTTGTTAAGAGTCCCTCATCGAGCGGGATAAACTACATATTTTCAATTTTCTAAAATTATAATGATTAATTTAAGAAAGGGGCCGACTCATAAGCCTAATACAGATTGATCGAAAAGCTCATCTGGGCCACAGGCTGAGCAAAAATTGGTTTGCTTCAATTTAGGCTAAATTTTTTCAGTCTGACCCAACCCTTTAAGGAACTATTCTTGAAATCGGGCTGATTTTTCAAGCTCTACCTAGAAGTTTTCTCCTATCTGATGGACTAGTCTTTTAGTTGGACCATTAAGTAGGATAAACTACTTGATGTAGTTCTTAAACCTTGAGTTGGACTCTCCTCTTCTGCCTAAGTCTGACATATGTTCTCCTAATACATAACTACCAGCTGTTATTTTCTACAAATAACTGTCATTCTGCAGTTTCTAATATAAAACTAACTACAACTAATATAGAACTGTTTTCTAAAGCAGTTTGTTGAGTGCAAACATAACTGTCATAACTGCCCTGAACTGAGTTTCCATCATTTTTTTAATCAGCAAATTTCTATAATGTGATCATCGAGTGCAATTTATCAATAAAACAGGAAAACCATTTGGTTATGTCTTAACTATTAAAAGGAAGACTTAATTTTCTGTGTATGTATGATTGACCCCTTCACGTTTCTATAGCTGTGAAGTGCTGAACAGTTGATTTTAGTGACTGATTGATGGATTTTATGTCTGTAGAGTGAGGTAGCAGCTGGTAGTATAAATCTTAACGGAACTCTTACAATGGAAGTGCAACGACCAGGTGGCGAAACTTCTATGGCAGACATTGTTCGTCTGGTTGAAGAGGCACAAAGTAGGGAAGCTCCTGTACAACGGTTGGCTGACAAGGTTCTACTGAATCTCTAATATATAGCAAGTTCTATTTTGTTTCTACGTCAAGCTGTTTTGCTAGTTGCTAAGGTTAGTTTCTGCAAATAGTGACCTAGATGTACAAATCTAGTATTGTAGTTGATGCTTTCTTCTGGATTGGAAAAAATTTCAATCTTGAAAAATAAGATGGAAAGCTTGCAGTCAGTGTAAGATTTGTTCTTTGTTTTTTGAAGATGGAGTTGTTGTAGTTGGCCTTTCTAGTGGAGTTAATGCATCTCTTACAAAGTGGATTGAGGTCTAACTTAGCCCTATAAAACAAGTACGTAAGGGTAGGTTTGCACTTATTTATATACTATAATTTGATGATATTTTTAGTCAAAACAAGATCTCCAACACACTCCCTCACATCAAGTACTGAACATTTCAAGTGTGCAATTAGATATTTGTAACTCTATCTTTAGGATTCTTCAAGATACCAATCTCGAATAATCTAAGGCTTTTAGCATAAGTTGGATTCGCAAACATACGTTTAAACCTTGGAATTATTGGTAGATACCAAACTGCCTTTGAAGGAGGGCCATGCTTTGCGACCTCATCAATACTCTCCTTATCACCATCTATGACATTATAATGTGACAAACCACACTTGGGACAACTTCTTAATTCTACAAACTCTTTTCTATATTGGCAAACTCAAATATTTGTTACTATTGAGATAGCACAATTCAACGAGAGTATTGTTATATCTCAAAGGAAGTATGCATTGGATATTTTGGAGGAAACTGGGTTGATGAACTCAAAATCTATTGACATACCCATGGATCCTAATACTAAGCTTCTACCAAATTAAGGGGAGCCTATTTTAGATCATGAGGAGTATAGAAGATTAGTTGGGAAATTAAATTATCTTATGGTTACACGTTATAACATTTCCTTTGCAATGTGTTGCGAGCCAATTTCTCAATTCACCATGTGAAGATCATTGGAATGTAGTCATTGTATATTAAAATACATTAAAGAATCTCTTGGAAAAGGTTTCCATAGATGCTAATTGGGTAGGATTTCCTTTTGACAAAAGATCTACTTTTGGATATTTTGTCTCCATTGGTTGTAACTTGATCTCTTGGAAGAGTAAGAAACAAAGTATTACGACAAGATCTAGTGCAGAAGCATAATATAGAGCTATGACCTCAACCACTGTTGAACTTGTTTAGCTTAAGCAATTGCTTAAAGAGTTACAATTTGGAGATGTCGCTCAAATGATACTTATATGTGACAATCAGGATACTCTTCATATTAGTTCTAACTCATGAGAGGACCAAACATATTGATATTAACTATCATTTCATTCGAGAGAAGATTGTATATGGGACATCAAGACTGAGAATTTATTATATTTGTAATAAGTTTGATACATATGATTTATATGCACTAGCTTGAGGGACAATGTTAGATATATTAGATATATTATCTTTTATCTTCTGTTTATATGTTATTTTTTCTTTTTTATTATTCTTGGTAATTTGAGCTTAGCCTATATTCTCTTTATTATAGATACAGTACCTCATGTATATTTTCAAAACAAAGGAGATTAATTTTATACCTAGTTTTTCACTATATACAATAAATTCTAATATCATCAGTAACTGTATCTTTAAGTAAACACATTTCTTAGAAAAAAAGTACAACAATAAGGAATCAAATTATCTACTTCACTATGTTTCATCCCTAAGATTTGAGCAATGAAGCTAAATTTCCAAACTCAACTTCTAATAAGTATGGAGACAACAAGGATTGAACTCTATAGTGGAGATCTAATTTCAGGAGGGGACCCAACCCAAGTCTACTTCAAATACTAGCTCAAGGGAAGAGGATTCCCAAGTCTTGTAAGAAGTACATTTGTTTGTATTGGTAATTGATATGGAACATTTGAGCATTAACAATGGATGTCTTCATATATGCAACAAATCTATTTGTAGGCATGTTTCATTTGTATTACCTTTGTTGAAGCATGTGTTTCCTGTGCTGAAAAAATAACAGTCTTCCAATATTTCAATGACAAATATTATCATTCTGATATCCTCGTGATTGAAATGGTCGTATTCCTTGAGTCTTCCTTTGTTCTACTTTATTAGTAACTGAGTATTACTCTTGCATCTTTTATTGAATTGAGTAACATCTTTTTGTTTATATCCAGGTGGCTGGACATTTCACTTATGGAGTGATGGCAGCCTCTGCTGCTACTTTCACATTCTGGAGTCTGTATGGGGCACACATTTTGCCTTCTGCTTTATATCAAGGAAGTTCAGTTTCACTGGCTTTGCAGCTTGCTTGCAGCGTTCTGGTATTTTTCAATTCAAATGTTTTCCATGAACCACACATATCCAATGCGTATGATGATGATTGGGCCTCTGGGCAGCTTGAGTGTATTTTTCCTTCATCTAATGATTTTAGATCAGAATTATAAAGTCTGTTTTGTTACTCTTGCTTGATGGCTTGGCCATTAGACTAAATATTTTTTGACACTATTAGAAACAATATTAATAATTCTATAATAACAAGAAATTATTTTATTCATAATCACGCCAATTACATTCTTAGCTCCTCTGTTTGTAACAAAAGATCTCTCTAAATAAGAAAACAAAGTATGCTGAAATAAAAATATTATAAAAAATATTTTATCTTAATCAATACGGATATCCTGAAGATATTTGTGTCCCTATAAACGCTATTTTATCTGAATCAATACTAGTATCCCGGTGTATGCTTCCTTTATTGTCTATGTATATTCTACTATTCCATATTTTATTTTTTGAATGTAGCATGCCAGTTTTGTTTGGGAATAATTAAAGAAAATGGAATTGCAATAGCTTAAGAAGTAAATAATGGAGTTAAAGAGTCTTTCTTTCGTGCAGGAACTTTCTCCTGTCTGAGAAACACTGTTGTAAATATGTTTAACATTTGTCATGTTTTCTAATTAGAATGCTTATTAAAGGGTAACGATTAGAAGGAGTCCAGTTTTCCCTATTTATTATGTTTTGCTGGGGAATTGTTTTGGCTGATTAGCAGCATTGTTTATTTTTTGCATCTCTGCTGTCTTCTAAATAGGGATCAATAGTGTGTACTGAAAAATATACAACAAATACAGAGCACCTTATGATTTATGATATCCTAAATGATGTCAGACACCTCTAACATTTTTCCAATACCCAACAAATGGGCCACGGATAACTTGAATAGCCCTATGTGTGGTGAGTTTGGTTCTAAAATTTCAAGCCCAGTAGTAATTTGGCCCAGCCTTGCAACTGACTGGCCCATAATGGGCAGAACCATATTGCTTTATTTTTATATGAACCCTTATATATTTGGACTAGGTTTTTTATATTGGGTTTAAATCTGCATGTTAAAAGGAATTAACAAGAGATTAAGGGTAGAAGTTATTTCTGATAACCTTCAAGTTTTAAATAAAATATGATAATTTAATAAATATAAAATTTTGAAACATAATATGTTGGATAGTGATAGAAAATTAGCGGTTTTATATAGATGTCATATACCTCTTAATTATCATATCATTAACGTTTCTATGAAGTATTTTTTATTAAAAAGTAAATAGTAGACGATTGCGCTATAGCCCACTTAGTGACTGCTCAGTGTCGAAGCAAATTGTTAGCCTGCAACTTAATTGGTGCAGCTCAGCCAGAAATGTGTTTGGTCGATGCAGTCCTGCCTGATGGATCAAACCAGCCAAAATGCGTAGTACCAGTCTAAAAAGATTGTTATTTTATTGCTACTAGCTGTCGAATGGTTTCGGATGGGCTATCACTATGAGTGCTAGTGAATTGATAAGTCATCCTCTAGGGATTCTTTACTTAGTTTCTTTTCTTTAGGGATTCTTTAATTAGTCTGGGGATTTTCAAGATTTTGTACCTCTACTCTATTTTAAATCAGAAGCAATATATTGCACAGAATAACATACAAGTATAGAATATATTCAGATTTTGCACTAGCATTTTATTCTTTTGTATCTCTTGATGGCATTTGGGGCACCTTTTTTGGGTTTTTCTGCTCCTTAAAAGGAACAGTGAGGAAACACGATTTTAAGAAGCTCTAAAAATTAAAGGAGCTTCCACAAAAGCTCATTGGAGGAGTGTTTCAACAGTGCAAAGTGTTTACCATAATTTCCAATGATTTTGGTGCTATCAATTTTATCAAAATGTTTTAGGTGTTTTCTTTTTGATAGAATGCTATGATAGTTGTTAAGCACCAAGTGTTGTAGGTGCCTAGTTAGCATTTGACATAACTAACTGAAGTCAGTTATGTCGAGCTGTTAGTTAGTTATATCTGTAGTCCAATTGCAAAAAGATGTAACAAACTAACTGAAGTCAGTATGCTGAGATGTCAGTTTATTAGATCTATAGTCTTGTCAGCAAAGCTTGAGCATATACTCTTCACATAAGAAATGCAATAAATCACTTTCAGTTTATGCAAATTCTGTTCCCTTCTTTTCTCATTACTGCATTACTTCCTTCACTTTTGTTAGTGAGAAAAGGGAGGGGATAAATACACTGTCTTGTGTAGTTTAATTGATCAACCATTTTCCGTATGCAAGCAGCTAGGATGTCAAAGATTTAGGTAGAGATCAAATTGGTATAGAGTGCAAGGGATGTCGAATATTTAGATCTGTCTGCATTGGTGTATGGGTTTGTTGTGCATGCCAAATGTTTGATGAAATTGTTTGTGGTATAGAAGTTTCAGATAAGCTGTAAAAGTATTGAAAGTATTGTTTTTAAACTTAAATTCTGATGTAACTTTTAAATTGAAAAAGAAAAAGAAGGGGCACGCCAACTGCTATATTATTCCAAGGAATCAGTTTCTTCCGTATATTTAAGGCTTCTATTTTAAGCCTTTAATATTGTTTATTGGTGCAGGTTGTTGCTTGTCCATGTGCACTTGGGTTAGCCACACCTACTGCAGTGCTGGTAAAGTTTCGTGAAGACTACATTTATCATCATTAGTTATAATTATGTTTGAACTAAGCCATATTTACAATTTTGTGTATAAAAAGGTTGGAACATCTCTGGGGGCTAAAAGAGGTTTACTTTTACGTGGTGGAAACATTCTAGAGAAGTTTGCAATGGTAAACACTGTTGTGTTTGACAAAACAGGGACCCTCACAGTTGGTAGACCTGTTGTGACAAACATTATCACTGCCCCATGCATGAAAAGTGCTATTTCAAGGTAGTATAGGGATTTTTTATGTTCATTTATTACAAACATTGCTAAAGACGTAAACTTTGAGTTGAAAATAAGAATGATTTTATTATTCTCAATCATATCAATTACATTCTCCTTTGCTCTATTTGTAACAATCTAATCTTCTAAAATAGGGAAATAGGGAAACAAAATAATCTAGAAGAGTATACAACTATTTTCTCTAATTAGGAAGATTCTATAGATATCTTCTTTAATTAAGAAGATATTTTCTCTAATTACAACACTCCCCCTCAAGTTGGTAAATGAATATCAATCATTCCCAACTTACCTACAAGATATTGAAATCTACCCAGAGGGAGTTTATAAAAATATCTGCTATTTGAAATTCTATAGAAACATGAGTTGTAATCACAAAGTCTCTGTCTAGATTATCTTTGATGAAATGTCTGTCAGTCCTAATGTGTTTGGTCCTATCATGTTGTACTGGATTATGGGTTATGCTCATGGCAGACTTACTGTCCACCTTGACTGTAAGATCATCCAAAATGATATTCATCCAGAGTCCTTCACATATTCCTTGAGCAAGAGCTCGAAATTCAGCTTCTGCACAAGAACGAGATACTCTATCTTGCTTTTTGCTTCTCCATGTTATCAGACTATCTCCAAGAAATACACAATACACAAAAGTAGATTTTCTGTCAGTAATAGAAACTGCATAGTCAGCATCAATATATATTTTCATAGTCAATGTGTCTTCCCTTTTGAATAATAGCACCTTTCCTGGACTTCACTTCAAGTATTGGAGAATTTTGTCAACTGCTTGCATGTGTCTCTCTCTTGGATCCATAAATTGGTTCACTACACTAATTGCATAAGCAATGTTTGGTCTTATGTGTGATAGATAGATCAATTTTCCTACTAATCTCTGATATTAGGCCTTCTCTACATAAGCCCTTTCCTCACTTTCAATTATGTGATTTTGTTCTATAGGAACTGTTGAGATTCTACATTCCAACTTTCCTGTTTCTTTGAGGAGATCCAATACATATTTCCTTTGGGAGATGAAAATTTCGTTCTTGGAGTAAGCAACCTCTATTCCAAGAAAATGAGTTTTCCTAGGTCTTTCATTTCAAATTGGGCAGCCAATTTATCTTTTAATGCCAATTTTTTTGTTTCATCATCTCCTGCAATAATCATATCATCCAAATAGACAAGCAATAAAGTGAGTTTACCTGTAGAAGAGTGCTTTATGAATAGAGTATGATCTCCTTGGCTTTGTCTAAAACCCAAGGAAACCATTGCTTTTGTAAATCTTCCAAACCATGCTCTAGGGGATTGCTTAAGACCATACAATGCTTTCTTAAAGAGGCATACCTTGTTTCTTTCATTTTTCACTTCAAACCCGGGGGGAATCTCCATGTACACTTCCTCTTCTAGATTTCCATGAAGAAAGGTATTCTTTACATCCAGCTGGTGTAAGTCCCATCGAAAATGAGCGGCCAAAGCGAGAATAACTCGAACTGTATTCATCTTTGCCACTTGGCCAAATGTCTCCTCATAGTCAATCCCATATGTTTGGGTATATCCTTTTGCCACTAATCTAGCTTTATATTTTTCTACTGTCCCATCTTCCTTATGTTTCATTGTGAATATCCATCTACACCCTACTGCCTTCGTGTCTCTTGGCAATAAAACTTTTGTGCCTATCAGAGAGATTGTTAGTGCAAACATACTGAGAAATAGGATATTTAGCACATGATCTTCTTTCCTTTCTCAATGCAATGGGTAAATCCTCAATAATACTTACCTCCTCCTCACTGATATCTTTAGGGATCCTCACCTCTAGATTAGACAATTTTTCTTACTCGAGAGTCGAAGTGGGTTGTTTTCTTCTTTCATATTTTTTGCCAAAAAATTTGTCTTCTTCCTCTTATTTCTCAATGTGGACTATGGTAGCTTCATTGCTCAGATCTTGGGCATCCTACAAAGACAAACATGGTAATGACAAGAAGGAAAGTTCATCCACTTTAAGTGCTTTCTCCTCCTGAAGTGGTGGACTGACATAAAAGGATTGTGTTTCATGAAATGTGACATTTATGGTGATAAAGACGCGACGACTTTGAGGATGATAACATTTGTACCCTTTTTTATTAGAAGGGTACCCAATAAAGACACATTTAAGAGCTCTCAGATCTAATTTACCACGGTTAGGATGATGAGAGTGAACAAAAACAACACATCCAAAGACTCGACTAGGTAGACTCGTTATCAAGGAAGAAGAAGGAACAAAAGACAATAGAGACTCAATAAGACTAATGCCATTTAAGATACGAGTGGGTAACTTGTTGATGAGATATGTGGCAATTAACACAACTTCTCCCAGTAATTTTTTGGAGCAGACATTTGAAAAAGAAGAACTCTTGTTACTTCAAGAAGATGACAATTCTTTCTTTCTACAACCCCATTTTGTTGAGGGCTATTTACACAAGTTAGTTCACGAACAATACCATTATGAGACAAAAAATTGAGAAATTCATGATTCACATATTGAGCACCATTATCAGACCTGATTCTTTTGATATTTTTTCAAAATTGATTTTGGACAAGACGAAAAAAATTAATAAAAATTTGAAAAGCTTTGGATTTATTTTTAATAAGGTATTTCCACGTGACACGGGTACAATCGTCAATAAAAGGGACATGGAACATAGTTTTATTTGTAAAATAATATTACACTTGAGAAAAATACAAAGAAATTGGAATGAATTTGAGAGAGTGTTTACCCCTATCAGTTTTCATATTTATTGTAGTTTGAGATACATTAGATACAATGGATGAGAGAAAAGAAGAGAACTCTAGAACATGCTCCTAAGAACTAGGTCTAAAGCATGCTCCTAGGTACCAGTAGTACAATAAATAATATTTAAGACTATTTATTCTAACACTCTCCATTAAGAGGGAGCATACAAATTTTGGAACAAGTAGATTCAATTTGAGGTCCTCTGAAGGATTTTGTTAATATATCTGCAAGTTATTCATTTAATCCGACATTAGCACCAATTCCATGTACCATTTTGTTCAAGGGCCAACAATTTTAGGAATGGTAATAGAAGAAACAAAGGAGATAAAAGAATAAAACGAAGCAGACAATCAATGAATATGGAACTTTATTGTTCAAGGAAGAAGGGGGCATTGTATTAATAAGATAATAACTAGTGAGAATGGCATCGACCCAATGATAAGCAGAAAGATTGGCACCTATTAACAAGGTACGAGCCATTTCCATTAAATGTCTATTCTTCCTTTTTGCTATATCGTTTTGTTGGGGTGTATGTGGGTAAGTGGATTGATGTAAATACCATGTGATCTTAAAAGAATAGAAAAACCAGAAGAAAAGTATTCTTTGGCATTATCACTCCTTAAGATCTTGATTACTTGGCCAAATTGGTTTTTGATTTCATTAAGGAAAGACTAAAAAATATTCAGCAATTCAGACCTATCTTTCATTAAGTGGACCCAAGTACAATGAGAATATTCATCAATGAAAGTGACAAGATAACGAAACCTAAAGCATGTGACAAGATTGGGACCCTAAATGTAAAAATGAATTATTGAAAAGATAAAATTTTATCTTGTTTCAGGACCTATCCTAACAAGTCTAAGACATGGTGTAGTTCTGTCTTTTCAACTATTCACTCTGATATTTGGGGACCAAATCGTGTTACTTCTTTTGGTTTTAATTATTTTGTAACCTTCATTGATGAATTCTCTTGATGTACTTGGGTTTATTTATTGAAAGAGAGATCCGAACTTTTGGCCATATTTGTGTCCTTTTTTTAATGAAATTAAGAACCAATTTAGGAGACAATTAAAATCCTCAAAACTGATAATCCTAAGGAATATTTTTCTGAGACATTTTCTTCAATCTTATCCTGCTAAGGAATTTTACACCAATCAACATGTCCCTACACTCCATAACAAAATGGCATTGCAGAAAGAAAGAATAAACATCTCATTGAAACTGCATGCTCCTTAATATTAAATACTAATGTTCTGGTTCATCATCGGGGCGATGCTATCCTCATTGCTTATTTTATGATCAATAGGATGCCCTCTTCCTCTCTTGAGAATAAAGTCCCTCACCTTGTCATTTTTCCAAATGACCCTCTATACCATGTCTCTTCCTGTATATTTGGGTGTACTTGTTTTCTTCATAATGTTTCTCTAGGTCTTGATAAACTCTCTGCAAAAGCTATTAAGTGTGTCTTTTTGGGATACTCTTGCCTTTAGAAAGGGTATAAATGTTGTTCTCCCTCAACCAAGAGGTATTATATGTTTTCTGATGTCATATTCTTTGAGGATACACCTTTTTTCTTGTCCTTCATGGAGGATCGTTCATCTGTTCAACAAATGTTTCCTTTACCATCCCTTTGTTACTCCTGCTTCTTTACCTTTAACTCAAAATGCAAATGATATTGTTCCTCCACCTCTTCTCACATATCAGCATCGAACACAATCTCATACTCAGAACATTGAAGATCCTCCACACTTAGATCCTCCACCATCAGATTCCCAGACCATGGATCCTTCATCCTCCTTACCCTCTCTTGACTCAGATAATAATTGGCCTATTGCCCTTCGGAAAGGTATTCGCTTTACTCGTAATCCAAATCCTTTTTATAATCTTTTGAGTTATCATCGTTTTCTCCTCCATATTTCTCCTTTATTCCCTCCCTATCTTCCTTTAAGGTTCCTAATAATGTTCATGATGCACTTGGTCATCCTTGATGGTGACAAGCCATGATTGATGAAATGCAGGCACTTGAACACAATGGCAATTGGGACCTTGTCCCTCTTCCTCCTGGTAAGAAGCTTGTTGGTTGTAGATGGGTTTATGCTATTAAGATTAGTTCTACTGGTGCAATCGATCGTCTCAACACTCGTCTAGTAGCTAAGGGATATACTCACGTTTATGGCTTTGACTATTGTGATACCTTTTCTCTTGTGGCTAAAACTAGTATTGTTCGTATTTTGCTTGCTATGGCTGTCATTCGTCAATCGCCCCTTTACCAGTTGGACATTAAAAATTCTTCATGGTCATCTAGAAGAAGAGATATACATGGAGCAACATCTTGGGTTTGTTGCTCAGGGGGAGTCTGGGTTAGTTTGTATAGTGCATCATTCTTTTTATGGCTTGAAGCAATTACCTCGAGCTTGATTTGGCAAATTTAGTTGGGTTGTGCAATATTTTGGATTGAAACGATGTGAGGCATATCATTCAGTATTTTATGGTCACTCTTCTCTTGATAAATGTGTTTATGTTATGGTTTATTTTGATGATATTGTCATCATAGGAAATGACGTCACTAGAATTTCTCAATTAAAGAATCATTTGTTAAACCACTTTCAAACCAAAGATCTAGGTGGCTAAAATACTTTCGTGGTATTGAAGTGGCACAATCAAAAGGTGTCATTATTTCACAAAGAAAACATGCTCTTGAGATTTTGGAGGAAATAGGCCTGATAGTCCTATGGACTCAAATCAAAAGTTAATGAGAGACCACGGTGAACCTTTCTCAGACCTAGAGAGATATAGAAGGTTGGTTGGAAAACTCATCTATCTTACCATAACAAGACCTAATCTTTCTTATCCATTGGGAGTTGAGTCAATTTATGCAAAATTCACATGTTGATTATTGGAATGCAGTGATTCGCATTCTCATGTATGTAAAAGGGAACCCAAGATAGGGATTGTTGTATGAGGACAAGGGAAGCACTCGAATTGAAGGATATTGTGATGCAGATTGGGCTGGTTGTCCAATTGACAGAAGATCTACCACATGATACTGTGTTTTACTTGGAGGGAACCTTGTATCTTGGAAAAGTAAGAAAAAAAGTTTTGTTGCTCAATCTAGTGTTGAAATTTTGTGAAAATGAGCAGATGAAGTTGTACTGGGACAATCAAGCCACCCTTCACATTGCCTCCAATCTAGTGCTTCATGAAAGAAAAAAACACATAGAGATTGATTGTCATTTTATTAGAGAGGTTGTTATCAAAGGATCTTGTTACTGAGTTTGTTTACTCTAATGAACAACTCGTAGACATTCTGACCAATTCCTTAAGGGGCCTAGAATTCAATTTATATGTTCCAAGCTTGATGCATATGATCTATATGCTCCATCTTGAGAGGGAGTGTTGAAATGTAATACTTTTATTATTATTAATATTTTTGTAAGGTATTTTACTTTTTTGGGTTTTGTTAAGGGCTCCTCCCCCACCCTTGTACTTTTCAGAACTACTGTCTCCTATAAATGCAGTAGTAAGTTGTATAAGAAGTTTTAACTGAAATAAAACTTTTTAATTCTTCTCAACTCTTCAAGTAACAAGTAACTTAACTTCATCTTCTACAATTTTTCCTACCCAGGATGTCCTAATTGTGTATTATTCGTCATTGGATAGACTACAAATGTATATATCTATTGAATATATTAAAACTAGTATAGAATTAATCTCTATTTAGTAGAAAATACACAAGGTAATGAATTTAAAATAATAAGAATGTGGGCTATTAACATAATTAATTTGCAAAAAAAACATAATTAACATAAGGACTATGTTTCCCTGATTAACATAAAACACAATATGGGCCTAATCCGAGAAAAAAGAGCAGAACTCAAAAGTCAAATCTACTCAAATCTAGGCCAAATGGGACGTCACCAACTTGTGGAACGGACTCAAGAGGCTCCGGCGAACCTTTCTGTGATGGCGGTAGCGAGTGGGTCTCGTCGGAACTAGGCACATGGGCTACACAAGCCGGCGACGGTGGTGGCGTCTTTCCTGAAGCAATTTCCACTGTTTTTGTTTGTTGGAGTTGGGTGCAACTTTATGCTCTATCAATGACCCCAACGGCTATGGTGACAACCGCAGCGGTCGGATAGCGGCAACGATGGCTAATGTTGCAGTGGAAATGGAGCTCCCAAGATCGGGAGCTATGATACAAACTTAAGAAGAGAATGAATTTTACTATTATCATTCATATCTATTACATTCTCCTTACCCTTATTTGTAACAATCTAATCTTCCAAAAAAAGAAAATAAGGAAACAACATACTGAAAAATAAACTAGAAGATTCTACGAATATATTTTCTCTACTTAGGAAGATTCTACAAATTATTTCTCTAATTAGGAAGATTTTTCTCTAATTACAACAGTCTACATTTCCCTTATTAACATAAAACTCAATATATCTAATAGTTCTCATAACACTCAATAACGGTTTATAGGATGCTTTGATCCAACAACTTTAAGAACAAAGAAAAAAAGTGGATGTATTTTGGAAACATAGATATAGTGAGAAATCATATCTCTAGATTTAGCGCCTATACTCTGAATTCGGATACTTTTTTTTTTTACTTTATGCAACTAAGAGGTTATATAACCATGTCTTTCTAATGCAGCCAAACTGAAGAAAATGCTTTGTCTGATATTGAAGTTCTAAGGCTAGCAGCTGCAGTAGAATCGAATTCCATACATCCAGTTGGGAAAGCGATTGTGGATGCTGCTGTGGCTGTTAATTGTCATAATGCTAAGGTTCCTCATCTTATTTCTTTTTAATGTTCTCTGTGTTTGGGGTTATCTTATTGCCTTATTCAAGCATTTGTCATTTCCATGTTGAGATGAACATCACATGACCTGTTTAGCAACTTATCTTTTTCTACAGTTTGGTTACTATTTTACAGTCAGTATTTTAGTTGTCATATTGACTGACAAGTATTGTAGAATTGAAACAGAGGAGTTATAAAGTATGCCTTTTATTTTTCAAGTACACATTAGCTTCTTGTAGTGAAAGTTGTGAAGTTAAAACTGTCAGCTTATGCCTTACAGCAAATTTTACAGGTAATAGATGGAACATTCCTGGAAGAACCTGGGTCTGGTGCAGTGGCAACAATTGATAACAAAAAGGTTTCTGTTGGTACATTGGAATGGATCACCAGGTAACTGGGCATTTGTCCAAGCATACACAATATATGATGTTACTCAATTTCTTTAATATTTCTTATTTATTGGATCGAATGCCTATCATTAATAATTGATAGTTAGGGTGCAATTCATTATGACTTGATCCACCTGGCCTACGTCACAAGACAATTAATACACCTTGCAGCATTACTTATTTATTTTTTATTACAGTATACAATTCCTTCAAACAATTGCAGCATACCTGTGTTTACTTGCTTTAAACTTGGTTCATTTCACTAAGAGGCCAATAGCTTTCGTTGTATGTAACATACATTTATTATTTTTTCTTTATAAATTTCAAACCTTCAGCAGGTGATTTACTTTGTGCAGGCATGGAGTTATTGACAGTTTAGATCAAGAAGTGGAGAAATGTAATAATCAATCCTTTGTCTATGTTGGAATTGACGATACTTTAGCTGGCCTAATTTATTTTCAAGATGAGATAAGGGAAGATGCAAGAGACGTTGTTGACAGATTGTCAAAGCAAAATCTTGATATATACATGCTATCAGGAGACAAGAGGAATGCTGCCGAGCATGTTGCTTCTCTTGTTGGAATTCCCAAAGATAAGGTGAAAGGCTTTCAACTATGATATAATTTTATATTAAGATCACATGTATGGCTGAGATTTTAGTACAATATTGTTTAAATATGACTGGTAGAGCGCCAGCCTACACTTGGTCAATGCTAGATTGAAGATGTTACACCATCGAAAAGAGGCTGAGAACTGAATATTTCTTTGTTTTATACAACCAAATCTCCCCACTATAAATGATCTTCAGCAGCTTTGAATCATCAATTGCTTAATAATCAGAAATATTTACTTGTTCACTTTAGATGATAAGATACAAGGGGGAGCTACACATGATGTATTATGCATAACTTCCCATGCTTAAACATGTGAAGTTTTATTTTCCTTTCATCGTAAGCTTACAAAAATCTAATTAAAAGTTATTGTACAAGGCTAGATATAAATGTGCTACATATTATGGTTTGGTAGCAATAAAGCTTTAAAACGCAATTTTTCCCTCTCTCAATACAATGAGTAAATTCTCAATAACACTTACCTTCTCACTGTTAATTTTAACGATCCTTACATCCAAGTCAGAAAACAATTCTTTCTTGAGAGCCAAAGTGGGTTGTCCCCTTTGATAATTTATGCAAAGAATGTGTCTTCTTCCTTTTTCCTCAATGTGGGCTGGAACTATCCCATCTATGGTGGCTTCATCTTGCAAAGACAGATATGGTAATGCCAGGAATGAAAGGTCCTCCTCTTTAAGAGTTTTCTCCCCCTGAAGAAGAATGGCTAACAAAAAACAAATATGCTCCATGAAAGGTGACATTCATAGTGATAAAAACATGACTATGAGGAGGAGGATACCATTAACGCCTTTTTTGTTTGAAGGATAACCAATGAAGATACATTTAAAAAGTCTAGGGTCTAATTTACTACAATTAGGATTATGAGACTGAACAAAAATAACACATCAGAAAACCCAATTAGGTAGACTTTACTCTAAGAGAAAAACAAAAAACAATTGACAATAAAGACTCGGTAGGACTAAGGTCGTATCAAGCATGAATAACTTATTAATGAGGTATGTGTCAATTAACATAGCTTTTTCCTAGTAGGTTTAAGGAATAGACATCTTGAAAAGAAGGGCTCTAGCTACTTCTTTCTACAAATGTGTTTTGTTGTGGAGTATTTCACATTTTAGTTTATGAACAATATTATTAGGAGACAAAACTTTGAAGAATTCATGATTCACAAATTCATTACCAATATCAAATCTCATTCTTTTGATGCCTTTTCCAAATTCATTTTGGATCAAGCAAAAAAATTAATAGAGAATTGAAAGACCTCAAATTTACTTTTTATAACATGTCCGTGTGACAAATACAATCGACAATCAAAGTAACAAACCATTTTACTCCAAAAATAGATTATAAAAATAGTCCCCAAATGTCAAATTAAATTTAATCAAATAAGAAATTACTAAGGGAAAGGATGCACAATGATACTTTAAAACAAATACATTTGAAAGACTCAATAGGCTTTATGGAAAACAAATGAGGTGACATGGGTTTGATAGGGTTGAATAATGGATGTCCAAGTCTTCTATGATGAAGCCATATTTGGGAACTTGCTCATGTTTATGGTGTTGCTTGTGGCATATGATAATTGTGAGACATGTAAAGCATTCCTTTATATAATATATGATTCTAAAGTTATGTTCTTGGATCCATATATGGATACACTGTCATCATTTGCAATTTTAATGAGTTGTTCTCCAATCATTTTGACATATGAATTGAAGAGCATAGGAAATGGAGTGGTGTGATTAGTTGCTCCAAAATCAATAATCCAAAAACCATGAGACATAGGACCAACTCTTACCTTTTATGACCAAAGTAAATGATCTAGAGAACTTAAGCATTCATTTAATTGGTGTTCTCAAATGATATATTTCCTCCTTATAGACTTTTATAACAACATCTAGTTGAGGTGAAGCAATGGGTTGATCTATTTCTTCATGTTCTAAGGTTGTATCACTTGCCCATCTCTGAGGTTCCTTTGTTTGCTCCCTTGCGTTCCAAGACTTTATCTCTTTGTGGGGTTTGAAGCATGTCTCTTTAGTATGATTAGATTTCCATCCGTTGTTTGATCCCTTGAGGACCCATTTTTTTCCTATTTTCATGGTAGAACCAACGTTGGAGATTCCTCTATTAAGCATTAGAACTCATGGTTTCTTCCCCCCTTACAATAAAACATACTTTTGACTAGCATAGAAGGGCAGAGATGATAAAGGCCATGAGAAGAGATGGAAACTCCATAACTGTGCCAACGAGCATATTCTTTCTTGGATAGGATTTTATCATTTGGGAAGCATAAACAAAGAAAATCGGAGAAGAATGCGAAAATAATACAAAGATGGAGACTAGCATAGAAGGGCAGAGATGATAAAGGCCATGAGAAGAGATGGAAACTCCATAACTGTGCCAACGAGCATACTCTTTCTTGGATAGGATTTTATCATTTGGGAAGCATAAACAAAGAAAATCAGAGAAGAATGCGAAAATAATACAGAGATGGAGACTAGCATATTCCACAAAGATCTCAATCTTTGATAAGAACGAGTGTTCTGTGACAAGAACCAAGAGAATCCTCTTTCAATGAATTTAAATTCAAATATTGACTATCAAATATTGAATATAGTAAAACTAGATATAGGATTAATCTCCCTTGTGTAGAAAATATACATAGGATAATGTATTTACAATAATGAGAATGTGGGCTAAGCCCAAATACAAATGAATATGTAAAAACAACATAATTAACATAGGGACTATGTTTTCCTAATTAACATAAAACACTATATCTAACACAAACAAAGTAACACTTAACAATTTTTTAACTGAAACAAGACTCTAGAATCATAAGGTGATACAAAAGAAGATGAACCAGCACCATTTGCGATGAATATCTGATTTGGACCTTCAAATTGTTGGAGTTGTTTAATATTTGGTGGTTCACCAATGACATGAAAACTGGCAGCAGAATCTGGTATCCAGAAGTATTAGCATTACCTTGAGAGTTAGACTTCATCAACATAGAATTAGGTTGATTATTGTTATTAGATTTAGCATTCAGATTCAGCCAAGTGTTTGAAGTCTTCTATGAACCAGCTGAATAGGGAATAGATTGTTGTGAGCTGGATCAATAAAAAACAGTGACTCATGCATCTGATTAGAGAAATCAAATTTGAAGTGCAGACATTGGTTGTATGACCAAATTTTAGACAAATTTGGCATTGAAAGTTAGCAAACCTCCACCTCGTCCTTTGCCAAGACCTCCACCATGAAAGGATCCTTGAAAACCTCCTATTTATTAGCACCACGAGAGTAAGAGACTTGAGTGTAGTTTAGAGATGGTGTGATTAAGCTGAGTCTCTTGTACATAACGAGTAAGCCATGTTTTCATGACCATACAAGAGAGCTTCAATCTCAGTAATGGAAGGAATGCATTTCTTACTTTCAATGACATAAACAACGGAAGCATAATTAGATCCAAGATGGCATCAACAGGTTCTTCATGCCTGATAGGAACACCAACTCCAACAAGTTCATCAACATAGCTCTTAATTTTTAGCAAGTACTCCTCTATCAATTTGGAGTCAAGTTTGATACCTTGCATAGCAGTACGTAGCTGTCCCGCATGAGATTTAGTCTGGAGACTAAAGTACTCATCAATCTTCTCCCTCACCTCATAGGAATGAGTGCATCCAAAAACGAGACATAACAGATTTGGAGAGAGTAGACTGAAGTCACACTAGCAGTGTTTGATCTTGAACTTCCCAAGCTTCATATTTAGGATTAACAGTGTTAGCAGCACAGTCATGTTCATTGAGATATCTAGATGGAACCACTAGATTAACAACAAAACGCTGGAGTTTATGTGACTTAATTACTGGCTCAACATATTGATGCCAATATAAGTAGTTAGAATCATCCAATTTCATAGCAGTAGATGTAGGAAACGAAGCAAAAGCCATAGCAAGCAGAATTATGAAGACTGCAAAGCAAACAGAAACGCTTAGCAAAAAGAATCAGAGAAACCAGCAATTCACTCTATGCATAGCCAAATCACCATGAGCAAAGCGAGTGAAGCCTTCGCAAAGTGCAAATTCAGAGATACAATTGAACAGAGAAAATTAGGAACAAAGAACAATTCACCAATTGAAATGGAAAACACTTGAAAAGAAGCAATCACGAGTCAGATCAGGATCAATTCACTGATTGAAACCTCAAATTAACGAAGCTGAATCAATTTCGAGCTGAATTGAGAACATATCACCAATTGAAAACGTGAATTAAGGAAGTGAATCAACCTCGAATAATTACTGATTGAAATTAGAAGAGGATGAAGTGGAAGCAATCGCAACTTGAACAATAAGGAAATCAATGAAGAACTTGAAGAAGCTAGATTGTTGAAGAAAAAACTCTAGATACTATCTTAGAGAAATTGAATAGAGAAAATATAGAGAACTGAATATTTTTATTATTGTAGCACACTTAGAACCTTAGGTACAAGATGTATTTATAGATATAGTTTACTACTAGCTATTATAAGAATTGACAGTTGTACAAAGTAGTAAAACAGTTTACAGGTAAACCTACAACTATACAAAGAAAATAAGCTGTACAATACATTTGACAATTAACTATAGTGTGTATACTAACAGCTGGTACTGGTGGCACGTGGCAACTCTACTAGGGTGCACCTTTCTAGCTCACTATTGACCTCATCAGACCTCAACAGTGGCGGCGATAGAGTAACAGCAGTAGCAGCTATTTACATGGCAGTGAAAATAGAGCTTCCAAGATCAAGATCTCTAACCAACTTGAACTATACAAGGAAAAGAAGAATTATTTTATAGATAATAATCACACCCATTACATTCTCATCACCTCTATTTCTAACAATCAAACTCTAAATAGGGAAAGAAAATATGCTAAAATCTCCTAATCAATATAAAATATTGAGGATATTTTTATCCAATAATCCGTCTTTTATAACAGGTAGATATAAATGTCTTGGATCTGAATTCTTGTGTACCTAAATATTTTTTTCTTGTTAATATTTTTTTAATAAACAGAAAAAATTGTTTATTTAATGTCTGGTTTATGTTGCCATTTGCAGGTGCTATCTGAAGTGAAACCAGATGAGAAAAAGAAGTTCATAAATGAACTACAGAAAGATAAGAACATTGTTGCTATGGTTGGTGATGGAATTAACGATGCAGCTGCCCTGGCTTCTTCACATGTTGGTATTGCATTAGGTGGAGGTGTCGGGGCTGCTAGTGAGGTGTCTTCTATTGTATTAATGCGCAACCAGCTGTCACAGGTCATTGTTATTTAATTAAGTATTTTCTTAAAACATTCTTATATTTGTTAGAAGTTATGTTCTATTCTATTCAATTATTTTTGAAATATTTTATTATTTGACTTCATCTTTCAATCTCTTTTTGTATTTTGGAAACAGCCCTTTTGATGGTTCTGTTGACTAGTCAATGAGCCTCTTAGCTTATACTCACTTTTGAAAGTTTAGAAGACAAACTCGTTGGAATGTTGCACTAATAAAATATTGTTGGAAGTTCCACGTCGAATAGAGATAAAACCAATTTAGAGTATATAAGCGGGTGTAAACCTCACCTTACAAGCCGGTTTTGTGGGATCTTAATATGATATCAGAGCCAGGTTAAAGCCTATCCTAGCGAAATTTGTGTGGACATATTATTCCACCAGCTATCAGGCCACTATTGGACCACTCAATAATGTCTAGTCTCACGCTCGGGATGTATATACCTCGGCGTGAGGAGGGTGTGTTGGAAGTCTCAATCGACTAGAGATAAGACCAATTTATAATATATAAGTGAGTGCAAAACTTATCTTAAAAGTCAGTTTTTTGGAGTTGAATTAGACTCAAAATCTACTTCTTAACAAATATATAGGATTGGAACCGGTTTTATTTAACACTTTTCTCATTTTTCTTTTAGTGCACTTGAGATTCTAGGAGACACCTGGGTGTGGATTGAAAGTAGTTGATTTACATGAAGTACGTATTTTTACTTCAATAACCAAAAAATGATTAGGTTACGTTCTCGATGCCTTTATTTCTGCTAAGACACTTTATTATGTGCACCCAGAATATTTCTTCGATGTGGTTGATTTAGACAATCGAATGTTAGTAGATAATTAATCTTTTTATTTAAATGCAGGTACTTGATGCCTTGGAGCTTAGTAGGTTGACCATGAATACTGTAAAGCAGAATCTTTGGTGGGCTTTCGTCTACAACATTGTAAGTTCTTCTACCACCTAAATATAGAAATTGATCCGCGTGTATATCTAAGAATTTTCCACATGCTTAATTCATTTCCATTACAAATTTGATTTTTTGTTTCGCATAGAAAAGTTTCTTGTTGAAATGTAAAAAATGTTCTTAGCATTTTATATTTTGATTATCAGCAAAAGACCTTTCCGATGAAGGAATATGGTTAGAGATGGAAATAAATTTAGTTATTAATGAACTATTAATTTACTTGTTAACTACTCAATCAAAGTCAGCTTATAGAGGTATGAAATTAAAAAATTATGGGTACTTTATAACAAATAAAAGAAATATTTTATATAAGAAAAGAAATATACTTTATAAATTATAATTTTATCTCAAGAATTCCTCTTTACATCCTTTTTATGTTTAAGAACTGTTGTTCTTTTATCTTCTTACTTTTATGTCATTTTAACATTTAGAATGTCTAATAAATACTAAACTTAAAAAACACTTGATGAAAGTATTTTTGATAAATAAATATTGGAAGTGGAACTGTCAAGCTCACCGTGCGGAGAAGTGTGGGATACAAATTCTATACAAGGGAATATTGGTGTTATAGAAATCAATAAGATTATTAGGACAAGGACAAAGATTACCATTGAAGGCATCGATTAAATATATTGCATGGTTCTTGTTCGAAGGTTAGAGAAAATTATTAAAAGGGATCATCTCTCAAAAGTTTGGGGTTTAACCATGCCTGGTGATATATGATAATAGTTTACTTCACCGAGTAGGGTAAGGTCTTGGTGGTAGTAGTTGTATGAATGAGACAAATCAAAGTCATGCTTCAAATGAAATCTAAGCTTTAAATATAGCAACTAATTATACTTTCTTCTTTGAGACAGCTTGGGTTTTAAGTGTTCTGCTTCTTTCATTTACAGTTAAATAAAACACTCCACATCAAAATGCAAATACAATCGGTGTCCGAATTTTATTAACATGCGGTATCAGCGCAGATAATCTCCACCTGTTTCATGTACCAAATTCAACTGAATTTAGGACTGATACTTTATTTTTGTTGGTTTAATGTTTCTGTTATTTGCGATTTTGAAATATCTGGAAAAATATTGTTCTATATTGTTATTCAACCTTCATGGTGTATTTAAACCTCTATCTGTATACAGGTAGGAATTCCAATTGCAGCTGGAGTGTTATTTCCCATAAATGGAACTATTCTGACTCCATCAATTGCAGGGGCTCTCATGGGGCTGAGTTCCATTGGTGTAATGACCAACTCGATACTTTTGAGATTCAAATTTTCCTCAAAGCAGAAACAAATATATAGTACATCGCCAAATACCAAAATCCATGTAGATGCTGATCTGGCACAACAAAACCGGAAAACAAGCCGACCATACTAGATGTTGGATACACGCAGGCACAAAGCAGAACAGCGGACTCTCCTGACGTCAGCTCGGTGTGTATACTGCTAACCTTTGATTTATGGGTGCGATCGTCCTCGGATGAAAGGAAATCGGTTTACAGGAAAATTCGGATGCATAGAATTGAAAGATTCACACCTTCAGGAAACGGCGAAAACTAATAAAGCAATTTATGTAATATGAAAAAGAATAAATTGCACCAATCATTTTACTGGTTGGTACTTCTATTTGATTCTCATAAGTTTCTCTCTTTATGAGCTCTCTAGCTTTCTCTTTCAACCATAAGCTTTTCTCTATTTTCCACTTATGGCAGGTTCATTATTCCTTGTTCCTTGGTCTTTTTGTTGTTTATAATAAGATTTGAAAGGGACTGCAGTAAAATCCATTTATATTTCTGCATCTTAAAATCTCCAAGTGTAGTCAGAAAGCCTTTTAGAATACAACTATAGTTTCAAATAAAACTTCAAAATGCGTAGTTGGGATGAAGTATTGGTTCCTCAGTTTTTTCAATTTCCAACTATTAACTATTAACCCTCAGTGTAAAAAAATCAAAATTAATATCTGTTTTAAAATAGGTATTATCAGTTTTTTTATTACCATAATCTATTTTCTCATCAAAAACTAAAAAATCCACAACGATAAAATCTTCAAGGGCCATATGTCTTGTAGTCTAATCACTAAAATGACTTGTAAGATGAGATCAGGTAAAGAGCTAACGCAAACTACAGAAATTTGTCTTTAGATAGTACAAAATTCGTGTTCAGGTGGAATTTGGCACATCCACGATATGTGTACATAACAGCCTACAGTTTCTTTTTTGTAATGACAATTCTACATTTATCTTCTTTTTCTTTTCTTTTCTATTTTTTGCTCATAGCTATGTCATTTCCATATATCTACAATCCAAGCTCACAACCATAAAAAACATTGGAACAGGGTCCAGATTATGAGCTAGAAAGATACATAGCAATTTGAGGACCCAAAAAAGTTACGATCATGCAACTAGAACTGCAAAATGAGACCTTTCCAAGACCAACTCACTGCTACCAAATTATAATTTCAAATTACCTGTCAAATGTTGGGGTCGGAAAATTGATGGTTAAACCATGTAGGTCATGCCAACCTGCATCAAATGTGAATGGGGTACACTTAAATTTGTGATCCCCCTCCGGCAGTTCTTTCTCAGAAAAGAATAAAAATAATTTATAATTAGCTTCTTGATAAACCATGAGTCTTTCCTAGCCCTTATATCCCCATGACCAAGAAGGTAAACCACTCCAGATTCTTTAGCCTTGCGTATAAAAGATAATTCTCTCTCAAGACTCTGCTCAGCATCAAGCACTGGGGGCTTAGGAGATTCAGGGTTTGCATCCTCAGATGTGCTTGCTTCCAAATTGGGTATGGGTATGTTTGTATCAATAAAATCAGCCAGAAGAGGGACGCCAAGAGAATAAACACTCCCATTGGGAGCTATGAGAACCCTAGAACCAGAGTACTCATCCTCAGAATCAGAATCATCATCCCCATCACTCTCGAGTGACCTCTCCTGAGCTTCACGACGTATAAACTTCTCTAGGCTTTCCATCAACAGTTGCTCAAAAGTCTGGTGATTTTCTTTTCGAACATCTTTGTAACCATACCTGTTGAAAATGTAAAATGTTCTGATCCGGCTTATAGAATTGAGAAAAATGAAACTTTAATTAAAGTATATATTCCAGGAAAATATACAAAAAATATAGTAAAAAGTAATCCTGTTTATGACTAGTGAAAAGTGGCTAAAGAGCAACCATTGATTAACTCAAATTAGCAACTTATCAATTGTCCTGAACTAAATACTTTACCAACAATCACATCATCGAGACTTTTCCTTGTATTATTGACTATTTTCCTTGAGATTTCAAGTAAAGCTATAGCACAATTCCAAAAGTAACATGTATGTAGGACTTCTTTTTCACAACCTATTTGGCTTTTTAAAAGATAACACTTTCACTGATCCAATACAGATGAAAAACGCACAAATATCCCAAAATGTAAAATATTTAGCTTATTTATTACCTGGCAATGCAGCGAAATATATGATAGCTTCTCTGGCAAACTCGCCGAAAAAGAAACCTTTCACTTTGAGGAACCATAGGAACTGGAACATATTTAATACTCACTAATATAATCATAGAGTGTATAGCTGGAAGCGTGGTTAGAAAATGGCCAAAAATGCCTGGAATTCCTTTCACCAACTCATTATAGAGCAAACCGATTCCAGGAGCTCGTATTGTCCCAAGATTACAGCCTAATTCTCGCATCAAATCCATTGACAGTTTTTGCTTTACTTCAGTTTCATATTTGAGCTTGCTGCCATAATTCCATACAAACATTATAAAAAACATTAATACTGCAAAGACCAATATGATCCAACTTCCATCTGTTACACTCCACAAAACTGATGAAAAGAAAGTCAACTCCAATCCCAGGAAGACTACTGCAAAAATCAGCACTACAATGATGTGAATCTGCCATATAAGAAGCATAACAAGAGTTACTAAAATAGTGGTCATCATCATCACACCCAGCTCAGCAATGCCTGAAAGAAGACAAAGGAACAAGCTGAAAACAATTTTATATAATTTTATGTAGTATAGTAAAATAATAACAAAGGTAAATTAAGTCTATAAAAATCAATGAAAGATTAACTCCCTCCTCCCAGTAAGAATCAAATTATTATTGATGTATTCATTTTACAAATTTACAAGTAAGGTGAAAGCTTGTTCTGAAGTAGACTGCCAGTTTCCAATGAAGGTTAGTTCGACCACTAGGACCAAACACCACATCTTTTTTGTTTGGTTCCAAATCAGTTGGTGTGGGTAAAGCCCTTTTTGAAGCTTTTGACATGACCTAACCTTGAAAACCGGTAACCTGCCTGTTTGACCACATCCATTTGGAATAAAATGATAACCGCCACCTCTTAAAAATGCTGTGAGTGCAAGATAATTATATCTTTATTTATACAGAATGTCATTTTTTTCTGAAAATAAAGTCAGTACTTGTAAAACTGCACAAATAATGGTTTTATTTTATACGCTTTAAAGGTTTCTTAAAGAAAATTTGGTCAAGGCTCGACCTCCAGTTTTGTTATTCTTCCAAGTGTGATTATAAGAGAGAAACTCAATGTCTTTCCAATCAGTATCAATATGCATTGATCCCATAAAAAAGTAACATGATTTAAAATTTGACATGTCATGTGAATACGCTGACAAAAATGACAAAATTATCTAGAAATAAAAATAGAGAAATTGAAACAAAATCATTACCATATGCATTTCCAATCTCATCAAGGCTGGATATAGTACAGACAAACACCAAAGAAACAGTCAAGAGAAACCAGTTTATGACAGGGATATAGATCTGTCCCATAAATTTCCGAGAGGTATGAACTATTTTAAGACGAGGGAAACAACCAAGTGCAGCAGACTGTTTTATACAAGAAAATGTGGCTGTTGTCATAGCCCGACTTGCAATTAATGCAGCAATGTTAGCAATGAGGAATGTTGGCCAGAATGCCCCACCTGCAGACACAAAATAGTCTTAGATGAAGGTTCTATAAAGTGCAAAGAAATGTCACTGGAAATGTTGATAAACACTAGTACAGAAACCAAGTAGACTAAACTTACTTGGAACAGAAGAATAGAAAGCATTGCCAGCATCAGCATGGTTTTCCATAAGGTATGCAGCTTGACCCAAATATCCCAACAGTAGGCACGGTAAAACAAGAAATACAAATGTAAGCTACAAAAAAACCACCATCGGTCTCATCAGATATTAGCTTATAAGATACAGAAAGTACAATAATGGAAACATAAGCTGTGTCAGTTATAACATAGTCAGCATTCATTACCTGAACTGACCGCACAGGGAAATAGCAAAGATCTGCAAACATTGCCTCCGAGCCTATAACGAGATCCAGTAACAATGTTAATCAACAGTTCAAAATAATATGTACCTTAGCAATTCCAAAATGCAAATTGCTTATTCACCACATTACAATAACAAGAGATTGGTTTCAAAAGGCAGGGATAATGTTGTAGATAGCATATTATTAGGATAAAAATAATCCCAATATTTCCACAATATTAGGAAAAAATATCTTCAAAATCTCCCTATTCATTTAAGCATATTTTTATTTCCTTTTGTTAAAGGATTTGATTATTACAAAAGTAGAGATGATGAGAATGTTATTGGTATGATTAATATTGTTGCAGATCCTACATTAGCTAGTAATATAGCCAAATTATAGTATATAGGTGGGTGTAAACCTCACCTAGCAAGCCAGTTTTATACTTGAGTTAAGCTTAAATTTCACTTTTTTTAAAAAGGTATAAAAGTCATTCAAAGTCTTAACATAATCAAGTTTGTTAGACCTATCATATTACCTTCTATTAGGCTCCCCTCTAGTCTCACACTCTAGATGTCTAGTCCTTAGTGTGGGGTGGTGTGCCGGAGGTCCAACATTGACTAAAGATATGGTCTATTTATAATATATATATATATATATATATATATATAAGAAAAAACAAAAGAAAATTAAATTCACGTAAGACATCCTAAACCGACTAGAGATATGGTCGAGTTAAAACATGTAAGTAGATGCAAACCTTACATTTCAAACCAATTTTCTGAAGTTCAGTTAGGGTTAAATTCCCCTTTCTTAAAAGTTATCAATAAAATAGACCTAGTGATGTTTTTCTAGATAAAATTTTGTTTCAGTAAGCATTTAGGATTCTAACAGTTCCAATGCATCTTAGTTTTCAGTTCATTCTATCATTGGAAGTCTTATCAAGTGAGGGGATAGACCTTTTACAGGTGTGGGACCCTTCCACTACCACATTTTCAATCGACATTCTAAACTGACCACCTTGAGTATAGCTTCCAAGTTCACTAAGCAAGTACTCCATATCTAAAATAAAGAAGTCTAAAGCAAAGATACCACTTTTATATTTTAGAATTGTTGGAGATCTCATATCCACCAGTGGTATAGCTAAAATAAAATATAAAAGAGGGGCACAAATGTCACCTCACAAACCAATTTTGAGGGTTTGATTTAGGTTTAAACTCAAAGTCTAAGATCTTGTATACACACACTATTTTTTCTATTAATAATACACAATTCACCATATATTTCTCTCTGTTTTCTGGGCGTGAGAGACTGTGAGGGAGTTCTTGATTAGGTTCCCAATTTAGGAACCTATCAATTGGTCCGACCTGCTGGATCGAGACGCCGCCAGAATCGGGTGAGGGTGAAAGAAATTGCGGTTGATAGAATGACAGTGCAGACAGGGAAGCTGCGATTATGTAGCAATATGCCAAGATTATGCGGCAATACGCCAAGATTATACTGCAATACGCCAAGATTTGCAAGAAATCATAAGGATGTTGGGTGGTCGAGGCCACAACCAGGACGACCAACATTGGGACCGGCGAAAGGAAGAGGAAGGGGAGAGAGGGGATGAACGCCATGAAGTGCAACCCAGCAGGGAGAGGAGAGTAGATTTACCCGTTTTCGAAGGGTTTGATGCGATGGGCTGGATTGCTAGGGCGGAGACAGTTTTTGAGACCCAGGGGGTGAAGGAGGAAGAAAAGGTGCGTCGGGCAGCCATTAGCATGGAGGGAAGCGCGAGTTACTGGTTCAGAGCCTGGAAGGAGAAAGGCAAGAATCGTTCTTGGAATGGTTTGAAGGAAGCCCTGGTGATACGGTTTGGAACCATCATTGAGCGTTTGGCGGCATCCAAACAGAAAGGGACGGTGGACAAGTCTGTACAAGACCTCAAGATTTTGGCGGGTCACCGTTCATTTGGGGGACGAATGCGAGGAGCCAGCCATAGTTTCATACGCAAGGTACTAGTAGAGGATCGGGGTTTACCTATGGAGGATACCCAACCGTACCAGGTGAGCTTGGAGGATGAGCAGAGGAAGAAAACCAACACGGACCGAACGGTTGAAGTTAGCAGGAAGGAACCAAACGGTAGATCGAGTGTTGCCGAGCAGTTCGAGGTCGAGCGCAATATCCCAGGTGAGGTTGCCGAGCGGTCCGAGACAGAATTAGACCTGAAGTAGACGGAGTTGTCCACTCTCTCGACTGGAGGCCCTATTCAGCCAAAAGCAATGAAGTTGCAATGTTCGATAGAGGACCGAACGGTATTGACCATTAAAAGACGAAACCGAACGGTGGTCCACATTATAGGAAGAAACCGAACGGTATCGGCCATTATAGAATGAAACCGAACGGTGTTGACCAAAATAGGACGGAACCGAACGGTGTTGACCATTATTGGACGAAACCGAACGATATTGACTAGGGTGTTCAATCAAAGAGGGAAGAAGGTATTCAGCAAGGGGGATCCAACACTAGCTAGAAGGTGGGTGGAGCCAGAAGCTTTGTTAAAAATAAAGGAAGTAGAACCGTGGACCTTGGTGTGGAATTCGGGGGTGATAAGAAGGAAAGAGGAGGAATGGAAGTCATTGAGGAGAAATGGCCACCACCCAAGCCTCCAGACCTGAATTGGAGGGCAGCATCCAGTGGGTTCCCTTCATATGGTAACAGGTTGATGAAGAGGAGCCATGAGATCGAGCTTTCCGGTTCCAACCTTGAGGACAAGATTGTTCTGAGGGGGTGTAATGTTAGGATATAGGGTATTTGGGATATAAGGGTATAATGGGAAATGGGATTAGGAAAGAAGGTAGAGGAATTGTATAAATAGATTGTTTGGATAGTTAGAAGGAAGTTTTTGAGTACATTGTTTGTTAACAGACCATTGACCTGTGAAGAGGGTTATGCCTCTGGATCTTATATACACACACTATTATTTCTGTTAATAATACACAATTCACCATATATTTCTCTCTGTTTTCTGGGTGTGAGAGACTGTGAGGGAGTTCTTGATTAGGTTCCAAGTTTAGGAACCTATCATGTATTGAGAAAATATGTGTTAACACTACACTTGGAGAGTTAGAGAAGCTGAAAAGTCTTATTTTTCACTTAGTAAATCTGATACAACTTACTATTGTATTCATAGGAGATAGTAGTTCTAAAAAGTAAAAGGGCGGGAAGCCCCTAACAAAACCCTAACATAAATATTAATAATAATAGAGATATTATATTTCCACACTCCCCCTCAAGTTGGAGCATATAGATCATATGCACCAAGTTTGGAACATATAAATTGAATTCTAGGTCCCCTTAGAGATTTGGTCAGAATGTCTACGAGTTGTTCATTACAGTTGACAAACTCAGTAACAAGATCCTTTGACAACAACTTCTATCTAATAAAATGACAATCAATCTCTATGTGTTTGTTCTTTCATGAAACACTGGGTTGGAGGCAATGTGAAGGGTGGCTTGATTGCCACAGTACAACTTCATCAGCTTATTTTCACAAAATTTCAACTCTTGAAGGAGTTGTCTAATCCACACAATCTCACATGTAGTTAGATCGATACTCGACTTCAGCACTAGATCGAGCAACAACACTTTATTTCTTACTTTTCCAGGATACAAGGTTCCCTCCAAGTAAAACACAATATCCAACTTCATCAGCTTATTTTCACAAAATTTCAACTCTTGAAGGAGTTGTCTAATCCACACAAGCTCACATGTAATTAGAGCCATAGATCGATACTCAGCTTCAGCACTAGATCGAGCAACAACACTTTGTTTCTTACTTTTCCAAGATACAAGGTTCCCTCCAAGTAAAACACAATATCCTCTGGTAGATCTTCTGTCAATTGGACAACCAGCCAAATCTGCATCACAATATCCTTCAACTCAAGTGTTTCCCTTGCCGTCATACAACAATCTTTGTCTTGGGTTCCCTTTTACATATCTGAGAATGCGAATCACTGCATTCCAATGATCAACATGTGGATTTTGCATAAATTAACTCAACTCTCACCGGATAAGAAAGATCAGGTCTTGCTATGGTAAGATAGATGAGTTTTCCAACTAGCCTTCTATATCTCTCTAGGTCTGAGAAAAGTTCACCTTGGTCTTTCATTAACTTTTGATTTGAGTCCATAGGACTATCAATGGGCTTGCAATTTGTCAGGCCTATTTCCTCCAAAATATCAAGAGCATATTTTCTTTGTGAACTGATGACACCTTCCTTTGATTGTGCCACTTCAATACCAAGGAAATATTTTAGCCGACCCAGATCTTTGGTCTGAAAGTGGTTGAACAAATGATTCTTTAATTGAGCAATTCTAGTGATGTCATTTCCTATAATGACAATATCATCAACATAAACCATAAGATAAACACATTTATTAGGAGAAGAGTGACCATAAAATACTGAATGATCCGCCTCACATCGTTTCAATCCAAAATTCTGCACAACCCGACTAAATTTACCAAACCAAGCTCGAGGTGATTGCTTCAAGCCATAAAGGGAACGATGTAATTTACAAACTAACCCAGACTCCCCCTGAGCAACAAACCCAGGAGGTTGCTCCATGTATATCTCTTCTTCTAGATCACCATGAAGAAAAGCATTTTTAATGTCCAACTGGTAAAGGGGCCATTGACAAATGGTAGCCATAGCAAGAAAAATACAAACAGTACTGGTTTTGGCCATAGGAGAAAAGGTATCACAATAGTCGAGGCCATAGACTTGAGTATACCCCTTAGCTACCAGACGAGCTTCGAGACAATCGATTGCACCAGTAGGACCAACCTTAATAGCATAAACCCATCTACAACCAACAGGCTTCTTACCAGGAGGAAGAGGAACAAGGTCCCAAGTGGATTTCATCAATCATTTGTCACCATCCAGGATGACCAAGTGCATCACGAACATTATTGGGAACCTTTTTGGAACATAAGGAGGAAACAAAAGAGAAATATGGAGGAGACAAAGGATGATAACTCAAAAAATTATAAACAGGATAAGGATTATGAG